TAACTTGACATTCGCGGTTCAATTCTGATCGGATCGATCTAAGTGGCGCGGCACCGGGTAAACCGGCCACCGGTATTTACTACCCCTTCCCTTGTTTTCTCTCCCCTTGTTCAAGCGTTGTAATCACTTTTGTTGTGTAGCAGAATTAGCCCGATGGTCTGGCACCGAGGGGATGCTGCGACTCGTGATACACCGGCGATACAGACTTTCAGATACGCTTTATTTATCATTGGACGAAGATTTTTATTACGGGCGCAGACAGGGCTTGGAAACAGTTATAATATCGGTTTCGGTTTTTGAAACGATTATGAGAACCGAAAAGATGCTATGGCTGCGAATGTAAGTGCGCAGGAAAGAGACTTTATGGGACTTGAACAGAAATTTGTTTTATAATCAGACGGTTATAAAATTATAATTTCTGTTTTGCATATTTTGCATATTGCATATGTTTTGTGTGTTGCACATGTCTGTCTTATTTCTGTATATTTTGTATATGTTTCATTGACTAGATTCTAACACGTTGGGGAACATGGTCAGATGCGGCAACGTTGTTTTACGCAAGACGCGCACATGCCATCAAAGAAGTAACTGTCTATTTCATATCGTTTTATTTAAATAATTAAGATTCGCTGCACAATTAATTCTATACGAGGCAATCAAGTTTTCATTTATTTCTGGACCTGTCGGAACCTTTAAAGAAAAAAACGCAGTGTGCATTAAAGCAACACAAGAGATTTTCCAGGAAGAAAATCTTACCGACGATTTATTTGGCTTTTATCGAAGGTGATTTCCGCATTTTAACAACTGCTGTAATGGAATCAGAGTCGAACATATTATCGTTGAGTGATGCAATTCAAGAAGTTTCAAATTTGGTTAATAATCGAGTTCTCGTTGCTACTTGGGGAGGAAAAGTAACAAAAATAGTCCTAAAAATAGTCTCAAAAAGAAATCCTGGATTTGGAATATTATCAAGTTCAGTAACAACTTAAGTGGTGAAACGTATACTTCTATCACATTCTGTGATGTTGAAAGAACATTAAATTAATTGTATCTCATAAAATACTCGAATTGAGAAATCATGGTACAGAAAAAAATAATCCCAACACATTGTAATGCCAATTATGATAAATAGTAGGAAGTACAGTAGTAGTAGAAGTAGTTGCAGTAGTAAATAGCAATAAATATTGCAGATAATAAAGCAATTTTTTATATAGTTTTCACAGTTTCTGCATATATATTTCATGTTCTTGAATATATTTTACATTAATTTTGCGTGTATTTTGAATATTTCGACATATAAATTTTGCATAAACATCCGCAGTCCAGTTATAACTGTTATGAATATATTGGTTTCGATTATACGGCAACATAGATTTAATATTATTGTTATACTGTTAATATTGTTAATATTGTTATGTTATACGTAAAAACTTTTGACTCAATATACCTTGCACAACAAAAATTAAAAACGAAAATCGATAGAGAAACATGCTGATAACGTCTAGGTTAACAATTAAATTTAAAGAAACGTGTGCAAAATTTTAGGAAATACTGTAAACAAAATATGTTGTTTTTTTTTTAAATCCTCCTTCCAAACATGTACCTGATAGTCACGAGCCAGGCATGTGCAATTAATCGGAGATTTTGACGATGTTTCGAAGGGCCCCCTACCTACGCGCTGCACCAAAATTACATTTCCACATCAATTAGATTCAACACGAGTAATTGGAATACACATTCACTGTCAAATCCAAAATATGCAACTATGCCAATGAAGTCAGGAACGATTACAATCGACATTTTTGACGACCTACATATCAAAACGATATGAGTTGAAAACTATACACTTAAAATGCATATTTTTTGTAACATATTTTTTAAAATGTATGCTAAACGTTTTTAAATGTATTTGCATATACACTAAAAGTATTATTTTCCCAGAATTATTAAAAAAGAAACAAAATGAGAAAACTATAAAATCGTTAAAGCAATTATCCTAATTTAACACTTCACTATGTTCTCTCACTTGGCATTATTTTCTAGAATCTCGCCATTTTGCACTGTTCACAGTATAAAACGCAACACGAATTTTAAAGAATTGACAGAAGCTCGTTTTTCACACCGAACAAAACGTACGACTTTTAAACATTTACTTTATCAATCAAATTCACATAAAATCTCGATCTCAAGAAGTTCGAAATCGTTCGAAACGAGTCACTGTGCTCGAATGTTCATTTTCACGAAATTCATTGAAATATGCTCCATATCTTTACCACTGAAACTGAGACAAATTTCGTCGGTAATATTTCACTCTAATGAAACAGGGGAACACACCCCGCGGATAAAATTTAGACTAGGAACGCAACTGATTTAAATGCGGCTAGTCACGAAGGCTCTTCGATCAAGCACGTGTTCGATCGCCGTCCTGGAAACGCGATCCGCGGATTATCTTTCGCGCAAGATATACAGGCTTAATAATCTGGCTGGGGAAAAAGAAAAAGCTCCATGATAAGTCGGATTCGATGAGTTTGTCGTAGCGCGTCGTCAATTTCCTTGATCAATGAATGACGCGAAAAAAACCGGGAATTCAAGCGTAGATGGTTGAACGTTTACATAATAACTCGTGAGCGCGAAAAGGAAATCCCCTTGGCGAATAATTCGCGGGAACGAGGAAACAAAAACCAAATCGTTGTCTAAATTGCTTCTTGCAATTTCTGAGCATATAAAAACGCTCTGCGGATCTTTCAAAAAATTCTGAATTCGGTAAAGTTACTCGACGGAAATATCTTTTCATTGATGTTAGAATTACTATTAGAGAACCATAGTTTATTTCGAATTTCTAACTAATGCATTCAATGCGTGCATGTTTATTTGTTCTTATGCCTGTGTCGAATGATTCGGAGGAAATTTTACTAACACGCGCGGAACAACGGAATGTATGGAACGACAAGATTAAAAGAGTAATCACTGCGATGTTCTAAAAGTAAAACATGAATGAGCACTGGTTGTAGTGATATAGCAGACTGTTATCTCTCCTGTCAGAAACTTTCGAAGATAGAAAGTGATCGCTCAATCTTTCTCAGGCCCTGATTAACCCATACATCAAGAACCAGTTATTCGCATCCACGCCGACTTTAAAATTTCTTGTATTCTCGAAAAGTTTGACCAACTCCATCGAATTCCAATTACCATTGATTTTCGTTTCTCAAAACTTTCGAGTTCCACCGCTTCAAAATTATTGCACGCCATAGGAAATGATCGACGCAAAGATTAATGTCTAATAGCATAATTGTTATTCCGTTTATTCAAATTGGAATAAAATTCCGTTATGACAGCGTCGATATTATTCACCAGTTCTGAATCAAAACAAAATTCGGTTCTTCTGTAATCAACATCCAGGAACTCGGGTCAATAAATACAAACATACATAGAAAAAAAAAATTGTCTCGTTCCACCGGTGAAATTAACGCCAAACCTACCGACATCTGAAAGCGACTAACTGCGTTGCTTTCTAAAAATAACGTGACTGAATTTATCTAGACATCTCGGCATTTTTCTTAAAGCGTAAACTTGTAAAAAGAAATTTATTCGATCGTTTCTTCGGAGACAGTCTTCATAGTTTCAACAGCTTGAAAATAAAACTGTTAGATCAGTCATATCGACTGCAACGATAAGTTCGATGTTAACCCTTTGCAGTCGAAGCTATTTGAATTCGAAATCCAAAACATGATTTCTGATCTACAGTATTTCTATTTTATATAATTTATTGCGATTCATGCGTATGAAATCGAGCCTATTGGCAAGTACAATGCAATTTTAATAGTTTTTTTTTAAGTATAAAAGAGTCTGATGCGCTTAGAATGATTTTGAAAAATAGTATACCAATTTTTAGTGGCGCCTCAGAGTCGCCATTCGAGTGCAAAGGGTTAAAAATCGCTGACCAACGACACGGTCGTGAAAAAAATTCTATCGCAGCGATGAAAAAAGTCCTCGCGATCGAAAAGAGTTCGAATCATTGTCACTGCGAAGAAAATAATGTTACAGGAAGGGACAAAAAAAAAACAAAAAAAGAGAAAAAGTTAGTCGATCGAGAAAGTATCGGCGCTCACTGAAAAAAAAGCTAGTACAGTGTATATTGGCGCAGCAGTGACGCGGCTACAGTAGTTCGCGAAACAAAAATCAGGAATAACGACGCAGCTGACAGTTAATGAGTCAATACGCGTTAAGTGTCGCCCTCGCAACTTTTCCGCGTGTCCCGGGTAAAATTTGCGTAACTCTTTCAATTAAAACTTTCGCGGCCGGTT